AAAAAGAAAAAAAAAAATGAAAAAACAGAAAACAGAAAACAGAAAACAGAAAATGCAAGAAAAGAATTCTAAAAAAGTTCAGGGAAAAACAAAAACCTCAGCGAGAGAGCCAAAAGGAAAAGAAAATCGAGATTGCTAGTCACTTGTACGGAGTACCCAGTCGGTCTTCCCATTCAACTCTCGATCAACTAATTTAGTGTTGTCTTCCCCTCAGCCTATGAATGAGCCTCGGTCAACGCTCGTGACTCCTGGAAGGTGGGAAAGGAATTTGACACCCGACAATCTTAGCACAGACACTCCGTTCGCATGCCCCTTCCCCCTCCTCATGTCTCTTGGCTTTGGCCCCAGCTCCGCTTTCAAGCATTATAGGGCCTTTAACTTGACCGCATCCATGGAAAATTTGTTTCTGTCTGCAGGCTAGAACGAATCAGTGGATTACAGAATCATAGTGATGGGCGACCCTCGTGCATATTCCGCAGTTACCCGACTTTCTATATGACTGATCAGAAATAAAAGCTGCAAGTTTCTAGATGCTATGTCTGGTGTTCCATCCTGATAATGCACCCTTTATCGACAGGGGCTCATTTGGGGGGAGGATCGCAGCCCTAGTGTATCGAGTACCAAGGAGCTCTGCGAGATAGCCTTTAAGCAATCAACGAAAGAAAACAACCAAATATCTGCAGTCGGCTCTGGACCCCACCGACTGCAGGAACACCGCCACTTCAATACCAAAACAACATCACTGTGACCAACGCTGCCAAGCCCACAGACTGCGCCAAGCACCAAAAACATTTCTCCTTTTTCTCCTAGCCACGTTGAGGAGGGTTAGGTCGCATATCTTAGGTTCAGCCTTTGGCGATATGAAGGCGCGGTAAAGGGCAAAAATTTCCCAGCCAAGGCTGTCTAAGTAGGATTCGCAGGTCGATGTTGCCAGACTTGCATTAGTAGTGCAGTTGACCGCTTGTTTTCGAGGTCTTCTCCTTCATTATTATTCGGTATTGATGTGCCATGCCGGCCGAATCGGAACTGAAGGGAGGCTTGAGCTTAGGATCTAGTCCAACATGCAGATGGAATTCGCAACCTGTAGTGGAGAGTTGCCTTCTATGATTTTTTGAGCGTTTCCCGCACGCGACTCTGCTGAGGGGTCTCCTCCAACTCGATCTTCGTGATATGCTGACCGGGCACGACCACAAGACCAATAAATCGACTTGTCATATTCACTCTGACATTCTCGGAGCTGCGCCTATCGTGGAGTCTTGGTTTTCTGCGTCAGTGGCAGCATCTCGAACTGCCGATGGGCTCGGAAAGCGATATTCGTATGTGCTCGCGAGGATAATATTTCGCGCCTAGATACGTTCTGCAGTCAGCAACTATCCTGGTCTTCGTATTCCGTGCTTTCTTTTTCCGGTTCTCTTTTCGTCCGATCGATAATCAGATAATGGTTTGCACAGGGTCACTTACCGAATCTGTACACTTGAAAGCGCCCACGAAAATACGCGTGTCTGTCGCGTGGACTCGCAGTGTTTGACCAATCAAGGATTCCAAATACTGGACGGCTTGGTTGTCATCCATGGTGCCCCTTTCGATTTAACCAACCTGTAAAAAAGTAAGATCGGCCACTAAGAAAAACCACCGCCCGTTCTGGGCTGTTCTTCGCAGAGTCGTTCAAGACAATTAAGAGAAAACGGGCGGGGCAACGGTGCTAGGCAGAAAGAACGATGATCTCTAGCAACGCTAATGATTCAGTTGACCGTATGAGTTCTGGGGCCTGGTGGCCTTGTCGGGGCGATAGTCCAGTAGGTACAGTGTTGAGTTTGGAAAAGCCGCGCGCGAGAGAGAATCTTACACAGTAGCAAAGGCTCCCCGCAATTACGTTTACGCATGTGACGTACAATGAAACATTTAATCTGGAACACCAACAGAGCAAGTGACCTTCCAACACCTAAATACGAAGATAAATCAAAATTTCATTTCCCCGCATTTATTCTATTTCCACTCAAGTTCGTGTTTTCTTTGGTTGTCCTCGTTCGTCCTCGAAATGGAAGTACAGACTACGCTGTGAAATTACGTAGCACTTCTGTGATACGCGAGGTGTTCATTCCCTGATGCCTAGGATATATGCTTTTCATAGACTTGCTTTGAGCAACGAAAATGAACCATACCACTGTGATACAGCTAGGTTAAGGACTGCAACTTTGGTTATATTAGACCCGCAGCCAGCATTCAATTGACCCCGTCAATTCAACGCAGGACATGCACATAGATATTTTGTATTAACCTTACAGAATGGCTTAAAGCATCAACATCAATCACGAAGATATCAGGAAATAAATCCAATTATGACCAGCAATTGTTGGATTTACCGGGAAACGCATATCAATCGTCAGTGGGTATAAAGTAGTATGAAGGAATTTTGCACGGATCATTGACAATCGGCTGTCATATCACAGCCATCCCGATCCTCTATTCCATCTGGTGGAATTTTCAACAGAGTCGTTGCTTCCAGAGTTCATCCGCATCTCCATATCAACCGTGGTATCTTGTGAGGATGGGCTAGCCGCACTACTGCCGATTGAGGCGACGTTGGAAATTGTGTCGAGATCGTGGCGTTTCAAGAAACTATTATTGGTTCGTGGGATATTGTCCGTTTGTTGCTTCACATGGTTGGACCCGGGTTGGGAAGATAACGGACGGGAGGGTTGGAAGAATTTATGCAGCGTTTGTTGTCGTGGATCGACGATTTCTGCTGGAAGCGAATCTGACTCCATGTCCTCATCTATAGTCTCATCTGCATGAGGAATCGGTCCTTGCTGCTGTTGGGCAGTGAAGAGCCAGCGGAGCGTATTTTCTACCATCGTTAGCCGAAGCCTGACACAGGCCTCACTCAAGGTACAAAGTACACACCATATACAATTTTATCATCCGGCCGGTCGTTCCTATAGCGCTTCCGTGTCCGACTATTGAGATGTTTTGGGGAGTCGTCCATCATCAATGACCGTCCTGCGATGACTGGCGCCGCATCAGGAGAATAGACTCCCGAGAATGAAGCCTTGCGCTTGAGCGACATATTCTGTTGACGGCCGTCTCGGGTTTGCAGGGATGTGACTGGTGTTGGAAATTGAAAGTTGGAAGCCGTCTATTAGGGTGGATCGTGTGACAGGCAAGTATCTGACAGACAATCCCAACTTATGTCAATCTAAGGCTTGTATCTTGATTGAATTATTGAGAATAACAAGGCATTGTCCTTGCAGGAGCACGCGAGGGGGTGATCTGACTGCACGATCGAATAATGGATTCAGTTGAAGGCTAATAACAGGGCCGGGTTCAGCCCTTTAATGTGGTTGGTGGAAAGCGCGTCGCGTCCGTTCCTGGCGTAGCGTTACCGTTCACAAACTATGCGCTTTTCCTTATTTGGCTTAATTGGTATCACTGGGTAGGTGGAAATGGAGCGTTCTCCCATCAACACATGAACAGCCTATTTACCATTTAATAGTATTACAGTGAGATGGCTTGTTGATCTGGGAATAGGGAGAGATAACCAACGTCTCCTGTACCTTAACGTTGCCTTCCAACCACGCGATCCCTTCACATTTGGGAAACGATCTTACCTTGTTTAACGTCAATTTCAACGAAGTCAGACCGCCTTGCAGTTCAAAACTTCCTTTTTTTGACTTCTGTATCGTTGTCTATCTAGATTGCTCCTCCCAATGGGTGACTTGTGTCTGGTGTTGAAGCGTTGCAGTCTAGAATCACCCATGTTATGCTAGGGGAAGCAAAGGGAAGAGAAAACAGAGTCTACTGCCGTGGTTGTGTAGAATTACAGCTAAATTGATCGTAGCTATCTCTCCATAGTGGATCTTTCTTAGGCATTTCACCATGGACCTATGTTCATGCTTCATTCAATCTTGCTGTTAAGTGGAAGGATCGGCATGCCGCCTTCAATCTCGGCATGCCGCGGCGTTGTGGTGAACCTTAGGCAGTCCACTTAATGACGAAGAGGTCCCGCTTCCCCGCTTCTATCCTAGTATCATGCAACGAAGGTGAACTAATACAACTTCACCACTGCAGCCTTCTATTGTATTGTTCGCTCTACTCTGCTCTTTTTGGTACAAAGTTATACAATATGCAGTCACGGGAAGCTTCTCATGCTGGTTCCTGGTATTCTGATAGCCAACGCACTTTAACCCGTCAGCTTGATGGATGGCTCGCCCAAGTTCCAAATAGGATCGAGGGCATAGGCTCCCTGCCAGTGCCTGGTGCACGAATAATAATTGCTCCGTATGTACTGGAGAATATTCTTTGCACCTTACCTTGTCAATTCGATTGCTGATCCCTCAGACATGCGGGCTACGCATACTCTGGGCCCTGTGCCGCCTATGCATACAAGGCTCTGGATCTTTCGAAAGCGTACGTGCCACGTCCCTACCGGAACTTGGATTAGCTCTAAGCTCTAAGCTCTATTGGAAATAGCAAGCGGATTTTCATTCTTGGACCATCTCACCATCATTACCTCTCGACCCTCGCTCTTCCTGAACTTACTTCGTACTATACCCCGCTTTCCGACGAGCCTCTGCCACTTGACACGGACCTTATCGCGAAGCTACTCTCAACCAAAGCAGTCAAATCTAACGGGTCCACTGTTAGCTTCACTACTATGTCACGATCTATTGATGAGGATGAACACAGCATAGAACTTCATTTACCATACATCCACCGTCTTTTGCAGCTCCATTTCCCAAATAAACCCACCTCCCAGTACCCACCACTTGTGCCGATCATGGTTGGAAGTACTTCAACATCTACTGAGAGTGCTTTTGGAGCCCTTCTGGCTCCGTATCTGGAGGACCCCGCCAACGCTTTTGTCATAAGTTCAGACTTCTGCCACTGGGGTTTGCGTTTCCGCTACACATACTACGTTCCCCAGGCACCAAAGCCGGGGCCAAAGCTCCCACTTTCTGCTAACTCTTTACCTCAGCCAGGAGACGATATCAGTAGCGTAGAGGAGAAAATGGAATCGGTATCTACGGGCCAAGCTTTGCAGCGGCGAGATCGCATCTCAAGTCGAGAACCAGCGATCCATGAGAGTATCTCGGCCTTTGATATCGCGACTATGGCAGCCATAAGTACCGGCGTCACTGCTAATTTCTTGGATACAATCCAAACCACTGGCAATACAGTTTGTGGCCGGCATCCAATTGGCGTTATTATGGCTGCTGTTGAGGAAATTACGAGCCAGGAAGAAGGGAAAAAGGGTAAATTCCATTTTGTCAGATATGAGAGAAGCTCGGATGCAGTTGATGTCGACGATAGCTCCGTGAGTTACGTCTCTGCATTTGCTGTGCTATAAGCTACTTGGCTCTCTCGTTTCCTGTTTGCCCCCCAACCTGCTCGGGGTTCATTACCTTCTCTTATAGTTTAGCATGTCTGTCACATTGCTTTGGAAGAACGCATCTCTACTCTGTTACCCTGTGACTAAGTGCCTAAGGTTGCTGGTAGCAATTGATTACGATTTAGTTGACATGTAACCCTCTTCACGCCATCATACCTTAGCACTGACACTGTGGATTGTTTGGCATCTTCCATCCAGTGTCCCCATACCCCCCTCGTCACATATAGACATCATTGGCCCAATTGCACCGCTTCCTGCCATTGCTTTCTCTGGATAGTGTGTGTGTGTGTGACGGGAATGCTACCCACGGACAGGCAGAGTCATTCCGTCGCTAAGAATTGATGGGGGAGAGAGAATGTTCTCCCCGACGACTGACCGACGGCTACCCACTTCAACTTACCTAACTCCAAGTCCTACTATTGATGCTGGAATCTGTTGGTCAACATGGCGAATGAAGCCACATTGACTGATTGGCGCGGGAAATACTTCACAAACTTAAACCCAGGAGAATTTAAGAATCACATGGCCTGGCGATCAACGGATAAACATCAGATGTTACACTGCACTGTGCGAGAAGTCGGCCAACACTGCGCCCCTACGCGGGATGACCAGTCGAATTCAGTACCAGTCCGAGGACTCGAGGGAAAGCCGCAAGGGTGATACACCGAGAGTCTTCTTATAGATGACGTTATTACCATGGTCCTCGACTGTCTGGTGATGGTATCGCGTGGCTGGCTTGTTAGGAAATTCTTACCCCGCAATCTCGATCTGCGATGTTGGAAACCTGATCTCAAGGATCAATTAACATATGCAGCCAATACATCTCGAGTAGTACTCTTATGCTCAATGTACACTATTGGGTGTCTGTGCGCTGGTCAATTTTCTCTCGCTGTCATGTGTCCATCCCGGTTGTTCATTCTGCTCAGTCTATGGTGGACCACATAATGGCGAGGAACGCCTCAACTTTATCCTGGGCCAACCAATTGAAGGGGGTAATATATAACTTGACTAGAATGTTACATCCGAAATGATCGACGTTAGGGCTAATGGATTGTTCTACAGACGTACACATCCTTCTAGGGCCGTGCCCCCTCGGATATACCCGTAGCACCAACAAAGTTACTGTACGTGAAGCTCGATTTTGCATGAATTGAGAAGCGAAGTGACTTACTTTTATTCTTTT